TTTCACACCGCCAAAACGGCTGGTCACCCAGGGGTTACCAAAACATACAAGGGTCTCCTTCAACAATTTTGGTGGCCCTCACTTAAGAAATTTGTCTCTCGGTTTTGGAGGGGCTTTTGTGCTGAGATGGGGATCTCCTTGTCATTTACGTCCTCCTATCATCCACAATCTAATGGAGCCGCCGAACGAGCAAATCAATCTGTAGAGTTATATTTACGCTGCTTCACGAATGCGCACCAGGACAACTGGTCTCACCTCCTTCCCTGGGCTGAATTCACCATTAACACCGTGACTCATTCGTCCACTGGCTTAAGTCCTTTTATGGTTGCTTATGGGTTCCAACACTCTGTCCTTCCCGGCGTTTTCTCAGACAAGGGAATACCCACTTTGGACGAGCACCTCACCTCCTTACAGAAGATGTGGGATCAGGTCCATGCTTTCTCGTGCGACTGCTACTCAGAAGAGATTTGCTGATCGTCAGGGGTGCTGCTCCTTCTTATGTCCCGGGTGATAGGGTTTGGTTGTCCTCTACGAATCTCCGCCTCAGGGTCCCCTCGATGAAATTCGCGCCCAGGTTCCTTGGCCCCTATAAGGTATTGCGTAAGATCAATCCTGTGTCCTACTCCCTGGCCTTGCCTCCTTCCATGCGTATACCTAACACTTTTCACACCTCCCTTTTGAAGCCCCTGCTCTGTAATCGATTCTCTGGTCCTCTCAGGCGTCCGGGTTCCCTCCACGCTGTCTCCAGTGACGTGTACGAAGTGGCTGCTCTGCTTTATTCTCGTCTTTCTCGGGGTTGGTTGCAGCATCTGGTAGATTGGAAGGGTTACGGTCCTGAGGAGCGGTCTTGGGTTTCTGCCTCTGACTTGAATGCGCCCTCTTTGATCCGCTCCTTTCATGTGCAGTTTCTTTTGAAGCCTTTGGCTTCCCGCCCGTCGGGCGGTCCTCGAGGGGGGGGTTATGTCAGGGGTCCGCGGGCGGACTCCCCTCCTCCTACCTGTCGGCGAGCGTGTCTCCTCTGCGCCGCTCGCGTCCTCCACGCTTCCCAGCGGCAGCATGTATAACGCTGCACGCTGGGAGGTCGCAAATTTATGCAAACGCCACGTGACCCGGCGTTAAAGCAACAGTACCACAATCACAGTGGGAGGCGTAGATATCTCCCACGTGTGATTGTTAATTCTGATTGGAAGTTATCCAATCAGAATTAAGCAAAGGGTATTTATACTTACCTTTCCTGTCTCTCAGTGCCCTGATGTGGTCTTGTGATACCTGTAGTGCAGTTTGTTCGTGTTTCTCTCTGGTTACCAATTATTTGGCTCGTTATTCTGATTATCCTGTCTTCTCCACTCCTTTGACCTCGGCTTGTTTCTCGTTCTCCCGTTTTCTGGCTCCCTTTACTTGGCTTGTCTCCTGACCATTCTTAGTGTGCTTAGCCGGCCACTTTAAGGACCGGTATAGCATCTTTCCTCTCTGTGTCCTGTTAGCGTGTTAGGTTCCAGAATCGTGACAGTTTCTCGTATTCCCGTAGACAGTTTACTGGACAAAGTTTGATGTTATGCGGGAACAAAGGGTATGAAACTGAAGTAATTGACGACTTAGTACGCCTGGAGATGTTGAATGAAACTCCTGTGGGGGTAAAGGAGCGTGCCTCAAAATCCAGTGCCCTAACATGGGACACCCTCTTGCAGGAGATCAGGCAAAGAAGCATGGTCAATTTCGCTGACAGTTGTTTAAGCGTGAGTGCTTCATTATGTGGCCAAGATTCCAACAGTTGTAGGACTGAATTGACATCCCATAATGCCGTGTATCTGGGTTGCGGTGGACGAGCAAACCGAATTCCCCGTAGGAGACGACATACTGACAGTTGTTGACCCATCGGGGTTCCATCTATTCCTCTATGTCCTGCTGAAATCGCCGATCTGTAAACATTAATGGTTCGATAGGCTAAGCCTTGGTTATACAGATCGGTAAGGAAACGTAACAAGGAAGCTATAGGAGCACCTACGGGATCCACTTGTTGTTCCAGGCACCAACTACTCCATCCGTTCCAGGCATAGAGGTAGGACCGTCTAGTTCCAGGCGCCCAAGCTCCTGCCAGTAACTCGATAGTTTCTTGTGGAACATCTGGTACGACCCAGGGTCCCCTGAAAGGAGCCACGCTAAGAGTTTGAACTGCCCTTGGGCCAGTAGGGGGTGTGGATTGCCCTCTGGGTCTGATTAAAGGAATAAGATATCCGTGAGCAATCGCGAGAGGTCTATGAGTGTTGGGAACCACGGTTGGGCTGTCCAAAACAGAGTTACGAGGACCAGTGATGCTTGAGTCCGTCTGAGATGAACCAGTGTTCGAGCGGAAAGGCGTACAATCGGCTGTTCCGCCAGTGTTGGAGAAAAGCATCTGCTGCCAGTGCGTCTGGGTCTGGTCTCCAGCTGAAGAATGTTGGTAATTGGGAGTTCAACCGAGATGCAAACAGGCCGATTTGCATCGGGCCCCAGAGCATCTGAAGTCGTAACAACACATCGCGGTCCAGCCGCCAGTCTCTGGCGTCGTGCAGATGTCTTGAATGCCAATCCACTATGACGTTGGACAAACCAGGGATGTATTCCGCTTGTATTGAAATATTGCGATCTAGGCAGTATTGCCAGAACTCCTTGGCCAGGTCTGTCAAAATCTCTGATTTCGTGCCACTGAGGTGGTTGATGTAGCGGACCGCTGAAATGTTGTCTATTCGCAGGACAATGGAGCAATTGGTTGCGCCCCCGAGGAGGCTCTTCAGGGCAAACGATCCCGCCATTAATTCCAAACCGTTGATGTGTAGGCTTTTCTCTGAGCACGACCATATTCCTCCGGTGGAGATAGGCCCGCAACGCGCTCCCCAACTGTGTGTGCTCGCATCGGACTCAAGAATGAAATCCGGGGCAGTCCCAAAGATTGCCCTGCCGTTCCATGCCTCCATATGTTGCAGCCACCATGTGAGTTCTTGCTTGGCTGCGTAGTCGAGTGGCACGGAGTCAGATCGCGAGTGCCCTGAGCGCAGCTGTGTGGCTTTTAGTCGTTGTATGGCCCTGTAATGTAGCGGTCCTGGGAAGATTGCCTGGATGGAGGCAGAGAGGAGTCCGATTATTCTGGCCAACTGTCGCAGCGTCAACACTGGTCTTGTGAGCGTCCTGCGGATCTCCTTTTTGATGCGTTTGACTTTTTCCGTCGGTAGGCTGAGTGTCCCGGTGATTGCGCTGATATGGAAACCCAGGAATTCTGTTTTGGGACGATGTAAGTACCAATTTCTCCCAATTGATGAGAAATCCCAAGTTTTGTAGCAACGTCAGTGCCCATGATAGGTGTTCCCGCAGTTGGGGAATCTCTTGTGCCATGATCAACATATCATCCAGATAAATGATCCTCCGTATGCCCCTGCTGCGTAGCAGGGCGACCACCAGCTTCAGTAATTTGGTGAAGCACCAAGGGGCTGATGAGAGTCCAAAGGGGAGACATCGGAATCTCCACGTCGCCTTTTCCCATTGGAATTGGAGCAGGTGGTGGCACCCCTCCACCATAGGGATTGTGAAATAGGCTTCTTGTAGGTCCAGTTTGACCATCCAGTCCCCTAGTCTGAGCAGGTCTCGCAGGCAATGGATCACCTCCATTTTGAAATGGTGGTACCGTACAAATGTGTTTAGTGGTCGTAAGCTGATGACTGGGCGTACTCCGCCGCCCTTCTTGGGTACCAGGAATAGGTTGCTCATGAACCCGGGGGAGGGTGACGGGACCTTATATATGGCGCCTTTTTCTTGTAGGGCGTGTCGAGAATGCTATTCGGTGTGGCCTGCTTGCTTGGACAGGGGGTTGTACAAACTTTATGTGATACCCCACGACAGTATTGAGGACCCATATGTCCGCTGTCAGACGTTGCCAGTTCACTATAAAGTGTAACAGTCTGCCCCCCACAGTCGGTATACTCGGGGAGGGGAAAGGTAGTACACTCACCATAAGGGTGTCAGCCGTATGAGTTGCCTCTGGGTCCTCGCTGCTGACATGGTCTGGCTCTGACCGGAAAGAAGGGTGAGGGCACTCTATTCTCTGGCGGCTGAGCTCTAGCCATGACGGGACCTCTGTATTCCCGGTAGGAACCGCAGGCAGACACCGGGGCCATCTGCCGGCCCCACCAAAAACTCTGGGGGAGAACACTTGTTTTAAGTTCGTCTGTGCCTTGTCTAGGGCCGTAAATGTGCTCACATAAGTGCCTAATTCTTTAACAAAACTGTCTCCGAACAGGAGACCCTTGGCTTGCGGTCCCGGTTCGGTGAGGGTCATGTTAACGAGTTTGGGCTCGATTTTCCTCAATATAGTTTTGCGCCTTTCGGTGGCCAGCGCAGCATTTGCATTACCGATGAAGCATATGGATCTCTGGGCCCAGCCTCTAATGGCTAATAAATCAAGAGGTGTCCCCTCATTTAATGCCGCCTCGACCAGTTCAAAAATTTTGGCACTAGGGCCTAGTGTATCCAGCACCCTATCTTGGCACTGCCGTAGGGAGTAATCAAGTCCCTTTTTGGCTTTCCAGCCCGATTTACCCAGGAATTGCGCTATTTTGCGATCTATGTCTGGCGTGACGCAGGCCATATCGGGCACTGTTGGGCGTGGGCACTCCGCCCGCAGTTTTTGTCTGGTGGCTTTATCTAAGGGTTTACGGATTCTGGCCGCTATGCACCGTGCCACATGATCGGTCGGGTACCACTCAGCCCACCTAGGGTTCTGCAGTGTATCAGGGTTGAACAGAGGTTCGCCCTGAGGGTCCAGTATAGCGGAAGTATCCGCAGTATCATACAAGGGGTTAGTCGGGTTGCGTGATGGGCTACGGTCAGGGGAGGAAACCTCCCATTCATTTAAGTAGACTTCGTCGGACTCGCTCAACACCTCCTCAGTATCCGAAACCAGAATCGGAACAGTCAGTTAGGGCTTTTGCCCACTTCCATGTCCTCGCCGCTTTTGCCCGGCGGGTGGCTCATTTTCGTGGGGGCCCCACGACCTCAGGTGTGACATGCTTTCCCATGTTGTGAGTTTTCCTCACGGCTTTACGGCCCTCTCTGTGTAAAGGACCTTCTTCTGTGGCCCTGCCGAGGGTTCCCTTAGGGTTGGCTGCCTTAATAGCATTTGAAATGGAGTTAAATATGTTGTCAGACATAACACCCATTGCAGTATAGATAGCTTGGGTGACTGACTTGGACATGGTGGCGTCCAGGAGCGAGTGGAACTCCTCTGAGTCCAAGTGCTCCAGGGTGGTCACCACGTCCCCTTGCAGGGTGGAGGGTTCAGACACCATGGTTCTGGGATGGGTGTTGGCGTCCCCCTTATCACTGGGGCGAGAGGCAGAGTACTCAGCAGGGGTCTGCATCTTGAGCCAGTTAAGTGGGTGAGGCACACTAGTAATAGGGAAATTACAGATAATTGCAGGCAATTCTGCAGGAGCAGAGTAAGGGGTTGCTAAAGACAAGGCAACAGAACAGCAACAAACAGATTGCACTGTCAGCTTACTGAGTGTTCCCTCAGGAATAGCCTCTGGGGACACTGGCAGGCTGACAAGCAATCTATCTGTCCAATCAGCTCACGCCCTCCTAGTGGGCTCTGAGGTGAGCGGGAAAAAATGAGCGGCAAAATTTTTCACTACCGCCCCTTTAACATGTCTGCTGTGTGTGCAGCAGGGACCGCGCATGCGCGCGCGGCGTTTACTCGCGCGGTGTTGCGGCTGGGGAAACCCCTGAGAAGAAACCGGGCTCTTCCCAGGGGGTTCCCCACGCTGTGCGACCGAGTGGGGAGGGTAATAAACTACCCGGCGGTACGCACGGGGGGGGGGTGAGGGGGGGCGGGGCACCCGCAGGGGAGCGTAGGAAAAGATTACTGACAGAACGCCCAAGGCGTGTTGTGGAAAAAATGACCAGCAAAACACACAATTAATGCATTAAACATACACAAAGCAATCAAACACAAATGGAGTGAGAGAAACAGTGGTACTTAGCTGAGGCAGCAGCAAAGAAAGAGGAAGAGGAGGAGGATACATGAAAAGATATTAGAGAAGGACTGTTCCTATTGGTTTGAGGATGGTGATGTAAGGTTAACCCTGTGAAGGTATTTATGCATGTTTCTTTTTTCTTTAAACACCTTAGCTTTCTTTGCTGCTGAGGAAATAAAAGAAAGAGATAAGGCTCCGTGTCCTTTAATAAAATTCAAGATTTTCCTATTTTTGACGTCACAAAATATAGATTTTATTGAAGCCAGGAGGTGATTATTATCCCTTCCATTAAAGGAACACTATAGTCACCTAAATAAAGCAGTTTTAGTGTATAGATCATTCCCCTGCAATTTCACTGCTCAATTCACTGTCATTTAGGAGTTAAATCACTTTGTTTCTGTTTATGCAGCCACACCTCCCCTGGCTATGATTGACAGAGCCTGCATGAAAAAAAAACTGATTTCACTTTCAAATAGATGTAATTTACCTTAAATAATTGTATCTCAATCTCTAAATTGAACTTTAATCACATACAGGAGGCTCTTGCAGGGTCTAGCAAGCTATTAACATAGCAGGGGATAAGAAAATCTTTATTAAACAGAACTTGCAATAAAGAAAGCCTAAATAGGGCTCTCTTTACAGGAAGTGTTTATGGAAGGCTGTGCAAGTCACATGCAGGGAGGTGTGACTAGGGTTCATAAACAAAGGGATTTAACTCCTAAATGGCAGAGGATTGAGCAGTGAGGCTGCAGGGGCATGTTCTATACACCAAAACTGCTTCATTAAGCTAAAGTTGTTCAGGTGACTATAGCCCCTTAAGGACACAACTTCTGGAATAAAAGGGAATCATGACGGAATATTTCCGTTATGTGTCCTTAAAGGGATAGTGTCCCTTTAAACCACCCTTTTCTTTATGTTTTCAGCTTAATCCTGTTAGGAGTTTCGTTGTTCTTATCCTTGGAGTTTACTCTGTCAGATACTTCTTCTAGAATCACAGCTCGAAAAAGGAAGGATATTGGGGATCATTCACTATAGACTATGCCGGATGCAGATTGGCTACAGAGTGTTCCATTTCAGTTACTCTATGTTTTGTCTTTTATTCACTAAACTTTATTTATAAAAATGTATTTGCTGCTGAAGTTAAAGGACCACTATAGGCACCCAGACCACTTCAGCTTAATGAAGTGGTCTAGGTGCCTGGTCCATCTAGGGTTAACCCTTTCTGCTGATTTTCACAGTGAGAAGACGCCAGCGTCCATAGGAAAGCATTGAGAATACTTTCCTATGGAGCGGCTCTTGCCGCGCATTCAGCCGATGACGGAAGAAGAGGGAGGAAAGTCCCAGCGCTGAGGGAGCTCGGCGCTGGAAAAAGGTAAGGGATTAACCCCTTCAGGGCTACGGGAGTGGGACCCTGAGGGTGGGGGCACCCTCAGGGCACTATAGTGCCAGGAAAACGAGTTTGTTTTCCTGGCACTATAGTGGTCCTTTAACCCCTTAAGGACACAGCTTCAGAAGCTTGACTTACGCTTAATGACACAAGCAATTTTTGCATTTTCTTGCTGTTTGCGTTCAACTGCAATTTGCATCTCTCTCATTTATTGCACCGACACATATTATATACTGTTTTTTAAAGGACAGAAAGGGCTTTAATTTGATATAACATATATATATATATATATATATATATATAAATGCTTACTTATTATAAAAAAAATACAGAAAAATGCAAAAAAAATGAAAAATATTGTTTTTTTTTACAGTTTTTGCAATAATAATGTGTGCATAATTAGTGCAGGTTAAGGAAAGTAATTAAAAATAAATTTATTTATTTGTTCTGATTTACAGAATATATAATGTGTCTGGGATTTTAAGTTTTTTTTGGTAGTTACAGGTCACAAAGCACAAGGAGTAAAATAAACTTTAATGTGGAGCGATTTTAGAATTTGGTATGTTTGTCTTGTAAGCTTAATAGCCATAAAAGAAAACAAAATTGCCACACAAAAGTATATATTTATATAAAGTAGACATCACGGGCTATTTACCTAAGGTTGTTTTGACACTTTCTACGTAGCCATATTACCGCCAACCTCTGCTAAATATTGGAGTAAAATTGTGTTCTTTTTGGTTTTTGGCACACAAACTTATAACAGAGAAATTCTCGTGTATATTTTGTAAAGTTGGTGCGTGCTATTCCTGTACAAAGTTTTATTTTGTGTTCAGTTACATCTGCTGAGTAAAATGACACCCCCATTGTATGTCTTTTGCACTATTTCGTGAAGTTACAGTGCCATACAGGATACCTGTCCTTTTCAGTATTCACAGTAGAATTTTGAGAGATGAATTTAATGAGCCTTAGCTTCCATTTGGGGTATTATAACAGTTTGACTGTTCAAAAAAACCCCCACAAAGGCCTACCATTTGTAAAAGTAGACACTCCAGGGTATCTTATAAGGTGCATATTGTGCCTTAACATGCCCCCATTTTTTCACCAATATATGCCAAAGTATGTGGTAAAAAAAAATTTTGTGCATTTTTACATACGGATTGCATTTTTGCTGGGCGTTTTGTATATTTCATATGTGCCACTAAGTTCAAACCCCCCAAATTATGCTCAGCTAAGTCTTCTGAGTAAAATGACACCCCATATGAATGTCTTTGGCACTATTTCGTGAAGCTACAGTGCCATATAGGAGACCTGTCCTTTACAGTATTCACAGTAGAATTTTGAGAGACGGATTTAATGAGCCTTAGCTTCCATTTGGGGTATTATAACAGTTTGACTGTTCAAAAAACCCCCACAAAGGCCTACCATTTGTAAAAGTAGACACTCCAGGGTATCTCATAAGGTGCATATTGTGCCTTAACATACCCCCATTTTTTCACCAATATATGCCAAAGTATGTGGTAAAAAAATTATTTTGTGCATTTTTTACATACGGATTGCATTTTTGCTGGGCGTTTTGTATATTTCATATGTGCCACTAAGTTCAAACCTCCCAAATTATGCTCAGCTAAGTCTTTTGAGTAAAAATACACCCCCAATGAATGTCTTTGTCACTATTTTGTGAAGCTACAGTGCCATATAGGAGACCAAGCCATATCCGTTTTTACCAAACTTTGAATTTTGACGCTGGGCCTATGTGCAATTTCCAAGCATCTTCGCAGGTTTTAAATTCAATCTACCCCACAAAGGCCTACCATTTCTTAAAGTAGACACCCCAGGGTGTTTCAAAAGGTATAGTTTGAACCTTAGCGTGGGATCATTTTTCCGCTAGCTTGTACCAGATGTAGTGGTAATAAGCATTTTTCTGCCTTTTTGACATACAAAGTGAGTTTGCACAGTATATTTTGCAAACCTTATGTGTGCTACGACTGTATAATACTTCATATGTTGCTCAGCTATGTCGGCTGAGTACAGCAATACCCCCGTATGTACCTTTGCCAGGTATATGTGGATGTTGAAGGGGCGCATTTGAGACGCAGCCATTCAGTTTTTTTCTAACTTTGAAGTTTTACGCTGTGTCCATGTTCCAATTTGGAATAGTTTAGACGGTTGGTTATTGAAACTTCCCCACAAACACATACTATTTATTAAAGAATACACCCTGGGGTAATTCAAAAGGCATATTTTGAACCTTGGCGTGGGATAATTTTTTTCTCTAGTTTGTTCCAGGTGTAGTGGTAATGAGCGTTTTTAAAATGTATTTTTTTACTTTTTATAACTTTTTTACTTTTAAAAACTAGTTTTTAAACTTTTGTTTTGCTTATAAATTTTTTTTAAACTTTCCTAAACTTTCTTAAAACTTTTTTTACAGATTTAACATTTTTCTAAGCTATTTTTTTTACTGTTAACCCCTAACTAGCAGTACGCAGCACTAACAGTAAATTCCCCATTTTCCCATAACTCCCACCCACCCCAGCTAGCAAAATATATAGTTATAAAATATTTTAATTAATTAATTAAATAACTTGAACCCCTGAGGGTTAAAAAAAATAAATAAAAGTTAATCCTCAGGGGTTAAAAAAAAATTAGATCACAGTATAATACTGTGATCTCTATTTGATCGCTGTAGGCAGTGATCGACTGGCAGCAGGGCCGTCTTTAATAACGAATGGACCCTGGGCAAGTGTTTGCTTGGGCCCCCTGTGCCCTGCCGCTCTCGCCCCTCACTCCCTGGTATGCAATCACGGCATCCATCCCAACGCAGTGGCGGTACTAAAGTAGAATGAATTTTATTGGGACCCCCAATTGCAAGGTTGGACTAAAGGTAGAACCCCATCTGTCGTGCAACTCCAACAATGCTTTGACAGCTGGGACTCTACCAATTTCCCATGCTTGCAGGGTTGTATTTAGCACTGAGCCATGTTAGTATGTTTGAATGTAA